CCTCCTCCTCCCTCTTGTCATGCACACCATCCTCCTCCCCCTTCCCCTCGCCAGCTCCCCTTCCCCCTTATCCCGCGGGCGGCGGGGCGTCAAGAACGGTTATGCAAATAAGCGATCTCGCACGAAGGTTCGGTAATTATTTGATGGCGTGTAATGCGCTTAAGACGGCGTGATGAAGTCTTAACGAAGTGTCTTTTAGCTCTCGTGCTCTCGCGGCGGGCGCCCTCGCCTTTGTTTCGGTCCTGCGCGCTTTACAAGAATCTTGCTTATGCTCTCTCTCTCTCTCTCTCTCTCTCTCTCTCTCTCTCTCTCTCTCTCTCTCTCTCTCTCTCTCTCTCTCTCTCTCTCTCTCTCTCTCTCTCTTTCTTTCTCTCTTTCGTTCTTTCTTTCTTCCCCCCCCCCCTCTCTCTCTCTCTCTCTCTCTCTCTCTCTCTCTCTCTCTCTCTCTCTCTCTCTCTCTCTCTCTCTCTCTCTCTCTCTCTCTCTCTCTCTCTCCCTCTCTCCCTCTCTCCCTCTCTCCCTCTCTCCCTCTCTCCCTCTCCCCTCTCCCCCCTCCCTCCCTCCCTTCCTCCCTCCCTTCCTCCCTCCCTTCCTCCCTCCCTTCCTCCCTCCCTTCCTCCCTCCCCCCTCCCTCCCTCCTTCTCTCCCCCTCCCCCTCCCTCCCCCCCTCCCCCTCCCCCTCCCCCTCCCCCTCCCTGTCCCTGTCCCTCTCCCTCCCTTTTCTCTTTCTAACGTGGAGAGCGAGTGCTAATTCTGTTCGACCTCGTCGAAGTGATTGCGCGCGTGTGCCGCTCTTACCTGCGCGTGGCCTGTGTGCGCGCGTCAACAGGTTCCTGCCAGGGACGTGAATTCCATTTGGATGCGCAGGATCGCCTTCAGGGACACCCTCGGCGGAATCCCCGCACGCGGCCGCCCTCTTTCGGCACGTGCCCAAGGAGGCGCGTGCCACGTGCCTCTTGAAGGAAGGGGGGGGGGGCGGAGAGGAGGAGAGGAGGAAGAGTCAGGGTGGAGTAAAGCGGAGATGAGAGGAGGGATGCGACTGCCAGAGTGCCAGTGAAAGGGGCAGCGAAAAGGGAAGAGAGAGAGCGCCGAGGAGAGGACGACCTGCTTGCTGATGAGCCTAAACATCCGAGTGTCTCAGGCCGGCCCTTAAGGCAGAATGGCCCATAACCTTTGGGAGAGAAGGGAGGGAGGGAGGGAGAGAGGGAGAGAGGGAGCGAGGAAGAGAAGGGGAGAGGAGAAGAGGGAGCGAGGAAGAGAGGAAGAGAGGAAGACAGGAAGGAAGGAAGGAAGGAGAGCTGTAAGCGAAAGTGATAAAAGAAAGGGTTTAAAGAAAGGGAATGAAGTTGAGCCACAAGGAAACGAATTGAAAATTTGCCCCTCCCCCTTCCCCTCCCCACCACCAACACCCCCATCCCAACCCCATACCCACCCCCACCCCTACCCCCACCCTCTCCTATTAAGAGCTCATCCTGGAGTGAGCTGCCGATAACCGCGATAACAGACATGAGCAGCCGTTATTATCGCCGAGGTGACAAATGCGGTAATCATGGAGCGATAAGTACGTGGCGGCGATAAGGGCGGCCGGCCATCTCGCTCTCGGAAGTGATGCGCCAGAGGACGAGCAGCTGGCGGCGGGCGCGCTACTGCGGGCGGAGGCGGCCCTTCCGGCGCCGCGAAGGGCCTGGCAGCCTCGCTCGGTGCTCCCAAGGCTGGCAAGGCTGGTGTCCTCCGTCGTGGGCGAAGGAGAGATTGAGGCGAAGAAGGGAAACAGTGAACGAGGAGGAGATAAGCAGTGAGGGGAGGAGTGCGAGAGAGAAAGGGGGAAGAAAATAATCTTTTAGTGCGGCCGACCTGACCGTCGGCCATAAACCGAACGAGGCAGAGTTTGTTTACACTGGGACGAGGTGTGCCCCCCACCCCCCCACCCGTTCTTGCTCTCCCTCAGGTTCTTCCCTCCCTCCCTCCCTTCCGGACTCCCTGGCTCCCGCTCTCTCTCTCACACTTTTAGTCTTTTGCACTTTCCTTCTTTCCCTTTTTCCCTCTTTTCTTCTTTCCCTCTTTCCCTCTTTCCTTCTTTCCTCCCTCTCTCCTTCCCTCCTTCCTTCCCTCCCCCCCTCTCTCCCTCCCTCCTGCAGTTACCAAGTCTCCTGTGATTCATTTTAAATGTTTCACTTTTCGAATATATTTTTATATGTGACTTTTGATATTAACCAAGTTCTCCCCCGGCAATTTTATTTTCATGTTTTTTTTTTATCTATATTTACAGCTTCATCCTGTTTTCCGTTCTCGTGTATAGTTGTTGTTTTTGTTGTTGTTTTGTTGTTCTCTTTCTCTCCCTCTTCAAATTCCCTCTTTTGAAATTGCTTAGAAATATTATGGGTACGTCTCCCTTGTGGTTAATTCCCGGCCGAGGCTCAGCGAAAGGGGGGGGGAGAGAAAATGGGAATAATCAAGCAAAGGCGGAGAAGAAAAACAATTATTCTTCCTGATTGGCTAATTTAACCCCCTCCCCCCCTCCCTGCTTCCCTCTTCCCCCTTTCCCTCCACGCTTTGCCTCTCGCCCCTCGCCCTCCTCCTATCCCCCCTTTTCCTTCTCCTTTCCCATTCCTCCCTCCCTTCCTCCCTCTCCTTCTCCCCCCCCCCCTTCCCCCCATTTCTCCCGCCCTTCCCCTGGTAGTTTTCTCTTTCGTTCTCCCTTCTCCCCCTTTATCTCCTCTCCTTTCTTCTCTCTCCCCCTCTGCTTTTCCCCTCCCCTCCCCCTCCCCCCACCCCCACCCCTTCTTCCTCCCCTTTCCACTTCTCCGCCCCCCCCCCTCTTCTGGCACAGTTTCGCGTCTCGAGATTAGCGACCTGGCACACATATCGTAAGGAGGGGGGGGGGGGGAGGTCATAGTTCAAGGATCAGAGGTCACATGCGGTTGTTCTCTCCGGTTAGCTGTTACTAATTATATGTGTGTGTGTGTGTCTGTTTGTGTGTGTGTGTGTGCGTGCGTGTGCGTGTGTGTGTGTGCGTGCACAGGCTTTAGATGGGGGGGGGGGGGGGAAGTAGTTCTGTACAAGTCGTGAATGCGTGTGTTGCACTCTATGCACTCACACAAAGATTGCATATCTTGCCATAAGAAGAAATAGAAAAATGTCCATGAGGATATCAAACTCCTGCCCTTTATTTTATTTTTTTTTTCTCTCTCTCTCCCCTTTTTTCTTCTCCCCTCTTTTCTCCTCTCTTCGCCTCCCCCCCCCCTCCCTCGCCCGCTGCCCTGATTAGCCCGCGATGCCGATCTCGTCCGGAATCAGGATGTATCTCCATGAATGATTAATTAACCTGTGTTTGGCACTGGCCGATGTAGCCCTGTCTCCGCGTCTCGTCTTTGTTAACGACCCTTTCTCCCTTTCTAGTATCTGTCTGTCTCTCTCTCTCTAGTTTCTGTCTGTCTCTCTCACTCTAGTTTTCGTCTGTCTCTCTCTCTCTAGTTTCTGTCTGTCTCTCTCTCTCTAGTTTCTGTCTGTCTCTCTCTCTCTAGTTTCTGTCTGTCTCTGCCTCTCTTTCTCTCTAGTTTCTGTCTGTCTCTCTCTCTCTCTCTCTCTCTCTCTCTCTCTCTCTCTCTCTCTCTTCTCTCTCTCCTCTCTCTCTCTCTCTCTCTCTCTCTCTCTCCTCTCTCTCTCTCTCTCTCTCTCTCTCTCTCTCTCTCTCTCTCTCTCTCTCTCTCTCTCTCTCTCTCTCTCTCTCTCTCTCTCTCTCCCTCCCTCCCTTCCTCCCTTCCTTCTTCCTTCCATAGACAGACCGAGACAGAGAGGGCGGGTAGAAGGAAGGGAAAGGAGGAGGAAGAAGAATAAGGGAGAGGGATGTAGAATGAGGAGAAATAAGGATAGAAGGAAAGACCGACAGGCGAGAGACGGGCGCCGGGTCGAGAGCGAAAGGATATGTACGCTTTGGCCTGTCCGTATGGGGGGGGGGGTCCCGTACGTCTGTCCGTAAGGCTCGCAGTGACACGGAGGCGCAGTGTACTTAACTAATAAAAAGGATGGAGGCGCGTTGAGTGTGCGTGTGTGCGTGCCTGCGTGCGTGCGTGCATGCATGCGATCCGGCGGAACCTTTCTCACGCCGCGGGGCTTCGGCAGGACGTCTGCTCTCTCTGGCGTCGCCATCGCCACGTCACTGCATCTCACCGTCACCCATCTCTCTCCCCCTCCCTCCCTCTCTCCCTCCCTCTCCTTCCCCTCCTTTTCCACTCTCTCTCTCTCTCCCCCCTCCCTCCCTCCCACCCCCTCCCTCTCTCCTCCCTCCCTCCCTCCCTCCCTCCCTCCCTCCCTCCTCCTCCTTCCTTCCTTACCCATTCCTATCCATCTATCGACCTCCTCCTATTCCCATCCACACTCCTCCCTCCCCCTCCCCCTCTCCCTCTCCCTCTCCTCAGTCTGTCCCTTTCCATCTTCCTCCCTCCTCTGGAGTGTGAAGTTGCGTTGTTGCTTAAGTCATCTCGTCTTTGCAACTCGGGCGACGCAATGCAGAGGTCTGAAGCCTCGTCTTGGCCTAGCCAGACCTGCCGGGTCCTCGGCGGGGACGACGCGTCCTTACGAGGCTTCGAAGGGGCGGGGAGAGGAGGGAGGGAGGGGCGGGAGAAGGAGGAAGGGAGGGGCGGGAGAAGGAGGGAGGGAGGGGCGGGAGAAGGAGGGAGGGAGGGGCGGGAGAAGGAGGGAGGGAGGGGCGGGAGAAGGAGGGAGGGAGGGGCGGGAGAAGGAGGGAGGGAGAGGTAGGGTGCTTTTTGTGCCTTCCAACAGTTTTTCCTTTTGTGTGTGTGTGTTGTGAATGTGTGTCCATGTGTGTCGGTGTTTGCCCTCGACTGCGCTCCGATGCGGCCTGCTCGTCTGTTTCTACAAGCAGGTTTCCACCCGTTGAGTGGTGAGCCTCGGGCGCATCTTATCGTAGAGCAATGACTGTTATTGCGCCTCGTCCCCCAGGTCGACACGAACTCATGTTTTTTTTTCTCTCGTTTCAGACGTGATGTTGTGGTGAGGTGGAGTCGCAGGAGCAAGCGGAGTGAGCAGGGGCGCCGCCCCTCCCCCTACACAGCACAGGAGCGTTGACCCGAGCACCATGTGGCCCTCCACAGTGGCCCTGATGGCGGCGGTGGCGGTGGCGGTAGCCGTGACGGCGGGACACGCCGCGGCCGCCGCCCCGGACCTGGAACCCGAGCTCGACGTCCTGGTCAACCCGTCGCCGCCGGCCACGGCCGCTGTCGTCACCGAGAACACGCGTGTCCTGCAGGAGCTGCCGGGCTCGCAGGGAACCATCAACAACAACAGCAACAATAGTAACAACAACAGCAACAACAATAACAAGAAGAAGGAGCGGAGGAGGAAGAAGAACCGCATTCAGGCGACGGAGGCCCCGCTGGCGCCGACGCGCGAGGAGGCCGTGGAGGACGCGCTGGCGGAGGCCACGGGGCGCGGCCGGACGGAGGAGGAGGAGGAGGCGGAGCTGGAGGGCAGAGGCGCGGAGGGCCCCGCCGAGGGCACCGCGGGAGGAGCAGCGACTGGGGGCGAGACGGAAGGCCCGAGCGAGGCGGAGGCGGAGGCGACGGCGACGGCGGAGATGGCCAAGGCACGCATCGCCTACAGCCAACCGTGGCTGAACAAGACGTACCGCGCGCGCGACGACTTCAACGCGCGCGGGATGGAGCACCTGTACCTCATCACCAACCTGTTCCTCGACCTCGTTCACCGCGAGGAGGAGGTCCCTGAAGAGCTAA